GGTCCCCCTGAATACAAATATTTAAGGTGAGGCATCCCAAGGACGTACGAGGCTGATACAAGTAGTGTGTACTCAAGTAAGATCCAGAATGACGCTGGAGTACCAACTTGTGCTCCTAAATGTCCTGAAGGATCGCCGGTCTGGCGCACAAAGTCCAGGGGGCCGGAGAAAGCCTCTCGTTGTCACGTCAGAAGACGTTGCGTCGGAAACATTGGATCATGGTCCAGGTTTTTTTCTTGGAAATGTCCTTGATGGTTTTTCTTAAGTACTACGGATTTTTCATTCGTCACGGAATTTAACGGTAAATAGCGAATGATTATTGGCGTTGCCCAAAAGGCTGAGGTGCAGTTGTAGTTATAGTTGCAGATATTGTGAGGAGTGCAGAAGACTGCTGTAGAGGGAGCCAGGTGAGGCTGGTTCAACACGAACTAAGGAAAGTGTATCACCCGGTTTTCCCTAAATAAATAAAGGCTGAAGAAGAGTCAGTCGGTGAAGGGGAAAGTGCACATGGGTCAACCTCACGTTCCTGGAGTACTTGAGGAAAGATATTTGGTGCAGAGGCGAGGCGACGCAGGGTGTGGCGAGGGGTAGGCAGAGTGAGACGAGGCGACGCAGGGTGTGGCGAGGGGTAGGCAGAGTGAGGCGAGGCGACGCAGGGTGTGGCGAGGGGGAGGCAGAGTGAGGCGAGGCGCCGCAGGGTGTGGCGAGGGTGAGGCAGAGTGAGGCGAGGCGACGCAGGGTGTGGCGAGGGAGAGGCAGAGTGAGGCGAGGCGACGCAGGGTGAGGCGAGGGGGAGGCAGAGTGAGGCGAGGCGACGCAGGGTGTGGCGAGGGGGAGGCAGAGTGAGGCGAGGCGACGCAGGGTGAGGCAGAGTGAGGGGAAGATGAGGTTGGGTGAGACGAGGGTGAGTCGGCCATTACCCTCCCAGTCCTGAAGCACTGATTCAAGATAATGTTTGCCTTGATTTTCGGCCAAACTGCATTACCCACCAATTTAGACAATTGGTGACCGCCCAAGGAGCAATTAGGAGTGTGTATCCCAGCTGCGTTGTGCACTCTTTAAATCCTACAGAGGTCCTTATGCAGTAAACGCAGGGGAAGGGGTTAGCTGAGGATTGACTGTCATGGCTACTGACACAAAGACGGAGTCCAGCAAGTTTGGTTCAGAAAATGTTGATCGGGACCTTCCGCTGAAAAAGTCTACGGTATCGTCCATCCGCGTGTCACTACTCTCAGACGTTTATTTTTTTCAGGTTAAAAGGTTCAACACACGTTGTAAATATCATTGACCTCTAATTACACCCAGCAGCAAAATAACAAATTATAACGTCTTTAACCTAATTTAACAAAGTGCATCTTTTAGCATTATGTTGAATTTGTTGAATGCTGAACTCATCGCTATGATGTTTATATCATTCGTCTCAAATATCGAATAGTGAATATGATGCCAATGGGTTGGTCTGCTGCTCGCTGTCGTAGATAATATGAATATAAGTGATATGAGTCATGCAAAATTTCTCTCTTTTTTGAGATGATGAAAGCTTCAAGATATATTTAGATACAGACTAGTGAATCATATCGAACCTTGACTTATCTTTCTGGCCATATACATTTATATATATATATATATATATATATATATATATATATATATATATATATATATATATATATATATATATATATATATATATATATATATATATTATATATATGTATATATATGTATATATATGTATGTATATATATGTATGTATATATATATATATATATATATATATATATATATATATATATATATATATATATATATATATATATATATATAGCTTCATCGGAATTCATGCTTCCAACGCAGGTTTGTTTTCATATTTTTATATATATATTATTGTACACATGTATCCGTAATACACAATACTCTTGTAATACTTTTTTATACACAGATATTTCAAGAATTTTCTTATTCATATTGGCCTGGAGACCATTCAAGCTTGACGCAAATATATGTATATATATAATTTAAAGTATACATATAGGCTATGTATATTCCCCTGCCATTCCTCTCTAGCAGGCACAGGTAGGAAGGCAGGCATTTTCAGTTAAGCCATCTTAGTAAGACTTGGAGTGTGGCAGCCAGTGTTCCGTGTAAGAGGCCGCCCAGCACGTGGTTGACAGGGTGGGGATTGAAGGGTTTCGGGGAGGGTGAAGATCAGTGGAAGAGGCGTTAAAGATGGGGGATGGGAGGGTGTTGGGGGGTGGGTGGGGATTTTGGGGGGTACCTTGGAAGGTAATGATGGATGGTGTCGAGGGCTGGGTGGTGGGTCTAGTGGGAGTTGGTGGGTGGGTGTTTCAGGGGAGGGTAGGATAATATGTCGGAAGCGGGTAGGTGGGTATGTTGTGAGTGGGTATACAGGGAGGCCTGGAGTGGGTAGTTTCGGAGGTTGTGGGTGGTTCTGGTTGTCGGGAGTAGGAAGGTGAGTGTGTCGAGGGGTGTGTGTGGGTGTCAAGAGACCGTGGATTGGGAGATGTCAGTGGGTGTGGTGTCAGGAGTGGATAGATAGGTTTGGATGCTAGGAGTTTTTCGATAGGTTAAAACGTCTGGAGTAGATAGGTGTGGGTTTCGTGAGAGGGTGAGTGTGGGTATCTGGAGTGAATGTCGGAAGTGGGAGAGTGTGGATGTCGTGAGGGGAATGAGTGTGGGTGTCAGGAGTGTGAGGGTGTGGGAACCGGATGTCTTTAAAAATGTAATATTTCCAGAAGATGACAATGTTAGGAGTGGCAGCTCTCACTAGTCCTTAGTGACACCAATCATCACAATAATTAGTTGTGTAATTAACCGAAGTGACCCAACTTTGTATTAACCGAATACTGAATGACTCTGCATTTTGAGTAGTAAATCTATATGTACCATTTCCCAATAGGAAGAGCCATAATCACTGAGGTTAGCAGAGTTGACAACCGATGATGACAGCTGGTGTGTGTGTGTACACCTGCGGTACATCTGACCTTACCAGGCCCCCCCCCCCTGTCTCTTGCCTCCTTTTTCTGTCTGTCTCGATTTATGTTTTTGCTTCTGTCTCTTTTTTGTTTAACAAAGGCAAGCATTGTGTTGATATTCCTAACAAAACAACAGTGTGGGAGATGTTAACCTACATCCATCTCTCTCTCTCTCTCTCTCTCTCTCTCTCTCTCTCTCTCTCTCTCTCTCTCTCTCTCTCTCTCTCTCTCTCTCTCTCTCTCTCTCTCTCTCTCTCTCTCTCTCTCTCTCTCTCTCTCTCTCTCTCTCTCTCTCTCTCTCTCTCTCCTCTCTCTCTCTCTATCTCTCTCTCTCTCAATCTCTCTCTCTCTCTCTCTCTCTCTATCTCTCTCTCTCTCTCTCTCTCTCTCTCTCTCTCTGTCCTCTTCTCTCTCTCTCTCTCTCTCTCTCTCTCTCCACTCTTCTCTCTCTCTCTCTCTCTCTCTCTCTCTCTCTCTCTCTCTCTCTCTCTCTCTCTCTCTCTCTCTCTCTCTCTCTCTCTCTCTCTCTCTCTCTCTCTCTCTCTCTCTCTCTCTCAAATACTCCAAGGCCGTCTTCTTAATTCTTCCCTCGGAGCTGTGTCAATCTGAGGTTGTCAAAGCGTGTGACACGGTAATATTTTAAAGATAAAGTTTTACGTTGAGCTGAATGTGATGTGTCGCGAGTGTGTCAGTAACTGAGTGATTAATCCCCTCCTGGCATGTATAGAGAGTGTGTTGGTCGATATTGGTTTAGAAGAGTGCGTTATGAGTGCATTGAAACGTGTACTCCCGTCAGTGCATGAGAGACAATGAGTCACAATAACGTGGCTGAAAATATGATAACCAAACCACACATTTGAAGATGGAGAATCGACGACGTTTCGGTCCGTCTTGGACCAATATCAGGTCGTGTGGGAGTTGATAATGATCCAGGACGGACCGAAACATCGTCGTTTCATCATTTTTCTGATGTCTGGTTTGGTCATCATTGATTACGATATACAATCATTGTATGATTACAATGGTCATCATTGTTTACGATATATTTACGATATCTTCAATATAAATAAGAGCATTCACCTCTGCTTTAGAGCAGACTTGAACGTGTGTATAGCATGTTTGATGTATGTTGTATGACATGAATGTTGTTGTACATAGAATGGGTGGATTCTGAGCCCAAGCCAATGTCGAGTGCGTTGACTGGTGAGTGTGGTAAGTCTCTCAGTGTGTGAAAAGTGAAAAATCAGAGTGCGTGGTGGAAGGTGGTGAAGATCAGGGTGCCAGGTGAGGAGGCACTCACGTCAGAGTGCCAGATGAGTGAGCACTGACGTCAGAATACCAGGTGACTGGTGACCCATGTCGGAGTGCCAGGTGAGAGGCACTTGAAGTTGAATGACGTCAAACGTGGAAAGCGAGTCTTGCCTAGAGTGCCTGACACTCTGTGACCCAAGTAAGAATAAGCAGGGAGTGGTGATCAAGATCAGAGTGCGTGGTAGTGGTGACCCAGAGTGCAACGGGAGTGCCGCCCCCCTGCTCCAGTGTCCTGGCTGTATTGATTACCTGCAGGAAGGTTGGGTAAGGCATACGTTTGCCCTGCCCCGCCCACTGGCTCTCTCTCTCTCTCTCTCTCTCTCTCTCTCTCTCTCTCTCTCTCTCTCTCTCTCTCTCTCTCTCTCTCTCTCTCTCTCTCTCTCTCTCTCTCTCTTTCTCTCTCTCTCTCTTCCCATTTGTCTCATAAAATGATTCCACCTGATGAAATCTTCGTATTAATGATCGCAAAATTAATCCTGTTTATTTTTCCCAGCATAAATGATTATCAATGAAGCTAGAGACATTATAAAGAGGAGTTGAAAACCCTAAATGCAGAAGACAAATAGCGTAGACAAGACGAGCAAAATTAGTCAGTCAAGCAAGCGGGAAGAGGAGAAGCTTCTTGGTAAACTCGTCCATTCTCTATTCTGTTCTATTTTGATTATGTGAGTTTGGTTCTTACCGTCCACTCACCAATGACTTTTAGTCTGACCGACGCTACGCGGGAATTAGAGTTGTTGAAGTCGACCCGACATCGGTACACGTGGGCGTCGTCGACGGAAGTGCGCATGATGAGCATCGCGGGTGGGTTGAGGTGCGCCAGGTAGTGCGCACGCCCTTGGAACACCTGGGAGTCCGCCCACGACTCCCCGCTCACCCGCAGTCGCTGGTCGTAGCTGAGGAACCAAAGAAAACTGGTTTACGTTACAGAAAATGGAACCTTGCTTGACTTATAGGGTAAACAAAAGTAAAGCTATTTGGCGCGAATGAAACCTTATTATATATGTATAAATAATATAACATATTGTAATATACAATATATTGTTGAATAAGACAGAAAGGGTGAGGTAGACCAATGATTCTAGCACGAATCTTTATATTTTTTATTTTCTACACGTGAGGAAAAAATTATAAATTAACTCTTCAATGTTTATTTTAGTTTTATTATGACCTGACGTTTAGAGATGTGCTCGTTCATCCGGTCAACATTTTCTTAAGGTAGAGCAGAAGTGGATAAAATTTCCCTGAAGCATCCAAATATATAACGGAGAGTGAAGTAAGGTGTTCAATGTGTCAATAAGTCTTATGCAACTTTATTGCAGCCTAGATTGCAGACGAGGAGTCACAATAACGTGGTTGAAAAACGTTGACCAGACCACACACTAGAAAGTGAAGAGACGACGACGACGTTTCGGTCCGTCCTGGACCATTCTCACAATCGACTTGATAATGGTCCAGGACGGACCGAAACGTCGTCGTCCCTTCACTTTCTAGTGTGTGTTCTGGTCAACAGCCTAGAGTCTCATGATGGCTGGGGACGTATGCTGGCTGTTCTGTCATGATCTTAAAGATGGTGTAACATAGAGTATTAGCTGGCTGTTAATAGTGAAGAAGAACATCATAAATATATAGTGAAGATTCGTACTAAATTCATATATCAAACCCTTTCTGTCCTTTTCAATAAAAGACTGTCAAAGTGACACCCCATGTAAGGCCTAAAGTTCCAGTTGGACATCCCATTGGCGTCTCTGGACTACTTCTTTAGTGTGGGTGCCGGTGGCTCAGTTGGTACGACTGCGGCCTGGTGCTTCAGTGGTTCACGGTTCGAGGCTCAAATGGTCCAGTTGAATGTTATATTATTATCCACGATATTTTGGTCAGCAACTTATATGATCAAGTCGTGGATCCCCTAACACCTCTATACTCAAGTGGCACCCCTTTGGGAGGTCTAAAGTTACAGTTGGATAACAGGCGGGTGTCTTTGAGATCTTTCTGTGTTGTGGGTGATGGATGTGCAGCCTGTCCCCTCCAGCATTCCCCACGTCATTAGACCAGCAGAGAAAGAGAGCCTCGCAATCTACTAAACCGTAATTATGTTAGCCTTGATGTCCGTCTAGATGGAATCACAGTGTTAACAGATGGAATGCATTAGGCAGTGATGTGGTGGAGGCTGACTCCATACACAGTTTCAAATGTAGATATGATAGACCCCAGTAAGCTCAGGAACATCAGTTCCTGAGCTTCAACTGATGTACAACCTGTACATCAGTTGATTGACAGTTCAGAGGCGGAACCAAAGAGCCAGAGCTCAACCCCCCGCAAGCACAATTAGGTGAGTATAATTAGATGAGTACAACGCACATGACAACACGGCAATTAGCGAGGGACTATACTTGTGTATCCACTCTGCCAGCCACATATCTCAAACTCTCTGTCGGCCAAGCAGGAGTCGCAGCCACACACAGAGACAAATCAACTAAATACAGGGAAACAAATCACCAGTACAACTTCGTTCAAATAGGATCCGAGACCCTTGGTCCATGGGGAGAGAGTGCAGGGAGGTTTCTTTAGTATCTTGGTTCGAGGCTCATCGAAATAACATGAGACCCTAGAGTAGCAAACTTTCTTTTCCAGCACCTCAGTGTAGCGATCCAGAGGGGGAATGCCCGCTGCATCTTTGGATCCTGCCCAGCGTCGGAGGCCTTCGAAGAAATCGATATTTAGTCTCTTTGAAGTTAATTCCCATAGGTTCTCAGTCTCGCGAGCTGCCCCTAAGCAGAGGGGGCGGCTCTGCTTAGGGGATGAGAATGAGCAGAATGAGAAGTCCCCAAGGTCACACCTGCTCTCTATGCGACACGACGCATTTGGCCTCGTACGCTCGTCAGAATGGGAAACGGGAACCTTCCTTGTCCTGGGTAGGCTACTGGGACGTCCGCGCCCAGTACTCACGATCTCATACTCCAACTCGAACAGTGGCAAGTTCTTTGCAACAGTTCTTTGTAAGTTACCACTTGGCTGTTGGAGGAGGAGGCTGAGTACCCGTGAAACTAAGCTTATCACTGTGTTGGGGACGCTGTGACATACTGTCTGAAGACAGTGTCACCATCGGAAGCAGTTACACACTACCAGCCTCACTTGTTCTGACGTATGGTGCTAGGACACATGAATAGGAAATATAGGTAGCTGGTACCTATATTTCCAGGTACCCCCTGGAAATTTCTTGGTACCCCCACTACCTGAGCGAAGCCTCGCTCTCATCATAAATTAATAAAACCTCTCCCATGCATCTGTTTTATAATCTTTGTCCCCAGGGTGATTACAGTATATCTTAATACAGTGTAGCTCTGTACATTCAGCTCCGATCACCTCGTAAGTAGTTAGAAAGTGAGGACTGGATAATTTAAACACAGTAGTAAAACTATATTACATTTAATGAATAGAAAAATGAGTAAATCTCGCAAAACGCACAAGAAAATTTTGCCCTATCTGGCAACTGTCTCCAGGTCGAGTAGTTAAAGAGAGGAGATGGCAGACGTCTCCTTCACTGGGCACGAATCTTTCCGAAACCTCTCACTAAACGTCCAGTGATCTGCTCAGCGTAAATTAAACGCAAACCAAAATGGAATATATTTCCTAAACAAGAAAAAAGTAGACGGAAAAATATCCACGGCAGGAAATATTTTTCTGGTGACATTTTAGCGTATCTGTATCCCAAGGCGATAATATTGGTTCTTACCAGAATTTCTCTCTCGTGTTCCTCGCGTGAACCCACAAGTGACCACGACGTAATCCGCTTATGGGTTCAGAGCGGAGGATCAGATCTCGCTTGCAAAGTGGGTTGAATGTGACGTCTCGCAACACTTCCCATGAAGTGTAACTGTGACACGGTAAAGTAACCTCTTTTGCACCTGAATAACAATGTAAGCTAAGCCATTTATAATATAGTAGTAAGGAGATAAGTATTAAAAGAAGGCATCAAGCCGGGGAGACTATAGTGGCCATATATAATATAATTCTTAGTAATATGAGACAATTATGACTTTTGTAGATAGTGAAGTCATAACGTCTATGCATCAGGATCACAATGAACTAAATTCTTTCAAATCTGCTCTAGTATTATTATCCTCAAAATTGTTCATGAACTTCTGATTATTGTGAAACAGAGATTATACTGTGTAGTTTACCAGGGATTGAAGTTTCCTTATGATAACTCATTTGGATATCTTCCCTAATTAATGCGAGGAAGATCAATATAGCAGCGATTCAAACACATTTAAAGGGGGGTCGACGAGTCAAAATAACGTGGCTGAAATATGTTGACAAGACTACACACTAGAAAGTGAAGGGACGACAACGAAGGGACAATCAACTTGAGAATGGTCCAGGACGGACCGAAACATCGTCGTCCCTTCACTTTCTAGTGTGTCGTTTCGACAACACATTTAAAGGGGAATTGCGGTAGCAGAAAGAGGGGTAACTTTTGTAATATAAATTTCAATGAAATATGCCGTGAGTTGTGTAAGCACGTTGCGTTCTCTGTGGCGTAAGGGCCTTCGTGTTTGGTGTGTTATTCATTATTAATGGAGCGTTTTCTGTATATTCTGCTTCCTTGTTGCCAGGAGGTGTTTGTGGTCTCTCTTGTGTTGGCTGGGTTTCGTTCCTCGTTTCCAGAACGTCTGTTGGTGTGGTACGAGTGTTATTGTATAATCACCTTTGTTAAGTAAATAAACATTGTTCTTTTTAAATTTGTAATACAGTTTGTTGAGCATAGTATTCTGTTTGTAATTTAAGGTGTCATTGTGTAATGAAATTTACAGTTTGTTACAGGTTTGTTCTATTGGTTTGTATATCCTGTCACCATATTTTTTTTTTTTAATTTACAACTGTAAATACACAGAATACTCAAAATGTGACAGAATTTTATTTTTTGTGTGGTGTATGTCTTGGCTGGGAGGCGATGTACTCACCTAGTTATGCTCAACTAGTTGCGATTGCGAGGATTGAGCTCTGGCTCTTTGATCCCGCCTCTCAACTGTCAATCAACTGATGTACAGGTTACTGAGCCTACTGGGCTCTATCATATTTACGCTTGAAACTGTGTATGGAGTCAGCCTCCACAACCTCACTGCCTAATGCACTCCATTTGTCAACTACTCTGACACTAAAAAAGTTCTCTCTAATATGTGTAAGGACCCACGTATTGGGCGGGTGTCTTTCTTTCCCTGTGGGAGTAATGGGTACCTGCTTGTGTGATGGTGTTGTATATTGACTTGTTCCTTCCTTTGGTGTTGGACTGTGATCTGGTGTGATGTTTTACTGTGTGGTGTGAGATCCCTGTCCACGTATATGGTACGTCATACTTATTGTGTTGCTTGGTTTGCTGACTGTGATAAATTTATCTTTAATTTTTTACCAATTTGTTGGTTTTGGATTCAGCGGCTGTCCGTTTGAGGGTGCGGTGGTGTCCTGCCTTAATGGCTCCTCGGTTGGTACCCAGTCGTTGCATTCGGCGGGTGTGTACTCACCTAGTTATACTTGCGGGGGTTGAGCTCTGGCTCTTTGGTCCCGGTCGTGTGGTCGTCACAGGGTGTTGGTGTCGTGCCGGTGCCGGGTACACCTTTGGAAGATGCAGACATACACCCCACATGTTAAGAGATCTGCTTCTGCTCGTCTAGAGTTTTTGATGTAGGTGGACTACACGGCGACTGGAGCGGCACTTGTTGACGTGTTATGTCTCAACATGGAGTATCTCGCTGGCCTCTTTATTATCTCCTTTCTTGAAAATAGATTCCACATTTGCCTTCCTTCAGCAACTGGGCAACTCTCTCTTTTGTAAGTGACGCACTGAAGATCCTTGCCAGAGGCACGCTGAGGGCCTGCGCTGCCTCATTTAGTA